TGAGTATCTAAATAAATAATATCTAACCAATTAAACTTAAGTATTTAAATATATTAATCATAATAAAAAACATTTCGCATTGAGCCTATGAAACTAATACGCAAAAAAGTTTCGTGTTATAAAAATTTTTTGTATTATGTATTACAAATTATGAATGATTATATTATGCATCATGAAAATTTTGTATTATGCATTACGATTGTATTATGAGTCACAAGAATTTTTCATATCATGCATTATGAGTCATGAATTTTATGTTATGCAAGTCAAATTTTCATATGAATATATTGATTTTGTGTAATACCAAAGTTTATATGATACAGAAATATCTGATTATACTTCTTTTTTTTTGGCTTTTAGTTCTTTGGGTCCAAGTCTATAGGTTAATTTTAAAGAGGGGTTCACCTTCCTAACAATTAACTAAGTTATTAATTCTTTGACGATTCGTCTTCTCTATTACATTGATACCTTTTCTATAGTATTGGTTTTTTTTTTAATTTTTTTAATGATTTTTTAATATAAAAACTGTACTATAGCAATAACTTTTTTAAAAATACTTAAATTCAAAGCCATTTTCCATAATCTGATGTGAAATCCTGTTATCCTGTAATAAGAATACAATTCAGTTTTTTTTTCTTTTACCTCTTAATAGCTTTCCTGTAGGATACATTTTTAAATATGAAAGAAGAATTGAATATTCAGAATAAAGATTCAGAAGTACTACTGAATATTCAAGATAAAAAGTTTAAAGAACTATTAACGTATGATAGTGCAGAAGATTTCTCTGATGCAGATAGGTAAGCAATTTAGTATTTAGAGTATTAATATTATAAATTAGGAAGTATATCTAACATATTATCTTATTTTATAGTACATCTGATAAGATTGCAAATACAGAAGCGGATATAAAAGAGGATGCAAAACTTTTTGTTAGCAAAGTTTTCCAAAATTGGAATCATGCTTCAAAATTTATGAAAAAGTATGTTGCTATCAAGGGTTATAGAATACGAATTGGCGGCAGTAAAAGGATAGATAAAGTAATGAAAGAAGTATTAAAATAAACTTATTTGTGCTGATATTCTGAAAAAACAAATTCTAATCAGACGGCGTTTACAGAAAATCAGCGTTTAAATGCATCATCGTGTAGAGTTGAGTGCCTATGGAAAGTAAATATTTGAAATAAAAAAAGCAAAGGCCACTTGGAAGTTACAACTTTGTATAATCAGCATATTGGTCATAAATTTTATTCATCAGCAGTTCGATTTGTTCCATTATTATGCAAATTACTGGAGAAAGTTATTCAAGAGATTCATTTTTTAACCGTTATTGCCAAAGCAAATGCAACAATTCAGTATTAAATTATTAGGAAAAAGTTTAATATTAAAATAATTTGACAAGATTTATATAATGCTATTAGCAAGTTTCATTGTGAAGTGACACCAGGTGAAGCAGACACTGAGATTTTACTAAGAAGATTATATGATAAAAAGACAGAAGACTTACGTTGAATAATTTTAATAAAGCTTAATCTGATCACTTCCTCGTTAACTCATCTTTTTGGATGAGTCCCGAACAATACATTTTATAGTTACACTATTATAATGTAATAATGCATGATAACACCTGTAAAACCAATCACTATAATCGTCCACTGTCCCTCTTTGTCATTCCTGACAATAATTTGAAAACAAGAATTGTGACCTAAGCGATTGTTGATGATGAAAGTCAACTTTCATATGAGTGGATCTTTCGATGTATAAAAAACGCAACTGGTGTATCCCTAAAAGTATTTATTATGGATGGTGATCCAGCAGTTGAAGGTGCAGTTTTAACAGAATTTCCTAATGCTTATCATATACATTATATATGACACATAAGTCAGAATTTACCTAAAAGATTAAAAGAGAAGCTTGGTTCAAGTTTTAGTAACTTTATGAAAGACTTTTTTAAGACAAGAAACAGTTTAACAAAAACTCAATTTAATGAGAAATGGGAGATGTTATTGCAAAATTACCCAAAGGCAAAAGGTTATTTAATGCGATCTTTAGGAAACAATTCTCAATCATAGGCACGTGCATTTACAAATCAACATTTTACTACTAAGGCACAGTTCACTTCTCGTAATGAAGGTGAAAATTCAATGTTGAAGTAACTTTTCGGAAGTGCAAACCTTTCATTATGTGAATTATTTAACGTAATGGAGGAAAGATACCAAGAAGAAAATGACTATTGCGAGTTTATAAACTGAAAACAAATGATGCCACAAGTAAAACTTTAAAACACAGCAAAAACTATTTTAGACCAGTAGTACAACAATTAAAGGAATTTGTAATGCCGAATATTATAAAAAAATAAGAAGAACAAATGAATCTAAGCCTTTATTATCATTGTCAATGGAGCAATCAACCAGTCATAATGAAGTCACATGGATGATGCAATACCTATATTCTTTTAATTCAAACTCATAATACTTATAATATTTATTCAGTTTTACGTTTTTTTTGATAATATAACAAGGATAATCCTAATCAGAGATTATTTAAAATTTAATGAATAATATTAAAGCCATTATTACTAATTTTATTATTTGATTACAAAAAAAAAAAAATTTTAGATATATAAAACCTTTAAATTTTTGCCTTCAATATCATTCCTCTTAGCTATACAAATAAATACAATAATATAGTTAAAGAATTTTTAATCACAACCCGATCTAACTAATTTAAACAATAAAATTTACCTTTTATCATCGATATTCTCTTATTAGCATTAGTATTTAATTGTTCTTGCTCTTTACAAGTCTTGCTGTTATGTCCTCTTTGTTTATATAATTTGCATTTATATTGAGTTTTAACACTAGGTTGCTCTAAGGAACTTTTAACCCTCTTGGATTTGAGACAACCTTTTGGCCTTCATTTAACTGGATTTTAAACACTTATAATATCAATATTACCACCATGATCAATATTACTATTATTGCTATTGCTATTATTGCTATTACTAATAATTCTTTGTTGTGATTTTTTTGTAATGATAAAAAGACTTCAAGAAGTTCATGATAATTATTCTCATTATCATCTTCAATTACATCAACCAT